CAAGGAAACAATAAGGGGGGGACAATAAGTAAGTATAGGCAAAACACAGGAATTAATGAAAAGTAAGAGTAGAGGCTGAGTTGTGTCAGACAATTTGAGTTTCTCTATATAAAAAGTCAAGCAAAGGATTTTCCTGGAAATCAGTAAGATATGAGGGGACCAATAAAAATCTGAAGAAAAACATAGGCCAAGATAGATCACACGATACATTTTCTACAACAGAGCCATCTACAAGACAAGTCATGGGAATGAAGCAATTTATATAGGTCTTCTTCATGTCCGGATCTAAAATTGACCATCTGACATTTGAAGGGACTGAGTGTAAGACCATTAATGAAAGACCAGTGACTAATTTCGGTTAATAAGCTGTTAAACTGAGAACAATTTGAAGAAGAGATGATCGGAAGGGTTACTGTTGGGTCATCTGCGTACTTAATAAAGTCAGCTTTATTTGAGGTTGGTAAGTCAGGTGAAATAAAGAGAAAGGAAAAGGAGAAAGAATAGCCCCTTGAGGCACACCAGCTTCATTAAGTAGTGAGGTAGAGCGCTTCCCTCTGTACAGAGTGTACCGTCTTCTCTCAGAAAAAACATAACCAAGCCAGTTTGAGATGCAGGACTCAAAGTGAGTCCTAGCAAGCTTGTTAAACAAAAGCGGTTTAGAGACAGAATCAACAGTGGAAGTATAGTCTAAGAAGGCAGACCTAACATACTTAGCACTTTTGTCCAAACTGGCAATGATATTATGATGCGAAACAACTGCAGCATCCAAAATACTCCTTGTGAGTTTGTAGATAAATTGATTCGGACCTCTGAGACCCTCCAAAAGAGGTTCAAGCACAAGAAGCAACAGTTTCCCCATTGCTTTTAGGAAGGGTGAGGTTAGTGTGAGATCGGTCGGAATTTCACTTTTGCTCCAGAAGATATGAACAGGAATTATTTTAACATCCCTCTAGAGCCCGTTAAAAATGTTTGTGAGTGGATAAAATAGAATATCAGCACACTTGGTAAATAAAATACTTGGCGTGCCATCTGGTCCGAGGCCTTAATGATTTTCCGCATTTAACACATCTATTTCATTGAATTAAAAAAGCTACCTTCTGTTATTTATGAAGAACTGGATAAGATAACATTGGTAGGTTTACGTATGAATGTTTGATTTAGTGCAAAGACGTTTTCACAGGCTTCATTTCTGAGTTTCCTCTTGCCAGTGAGGTCATTAGTCTCCATATGCTAGAAGTGTTTACAAATTGAAGTTTCTGCTCTGACATGACAGTCAAGCTTGCCTATCCCCGTCCAACCACAATGGCTAACACTTGTTTCTCTGAGACTCTAAAATACCAGGAAGATCGGTTAGATAGTTGTAAGACTAAACGAAACTACAATCATAGTATGAGTTGCTAACTCTATAATCGGGGGAGGGTTTAGCAAGAAATTATTATGTTGAATTTTACTGGAAAAGTTTGTTTCATGAGATCAGTGTTCTCAAAGATGCAGTCTTACCAATCTGTAGTCAGCATAAGGTTGTTTGTCAAATTAATGCAAATTTATAACATTCCCGAAATGGCTTTGTGATCGACTTCATACAAATGACATTTAGGCTTTCAGTTCAAGCAGAATTACTTTATTATCAAAGATGAAGTGAGCTTCATGTTGTGGGCAAAAGGGGAGAGCAAGCCTCATGTTATTGACTGTCCATATTACCACCAACCCTGTTCACTTCTGTTCTATCAAAAGCTGTATATCTCACTCCATAGAACTAGAATTTCAAATGTAGTTATTAGCAGCGAACTTAATGAATAAATAGGGACACTGGGACAGTCAGGATGGCACCCTGAGAGTACTTTCAGTCATGTATTGATCAGTCAAAGAAGGAGATCATCTCCTATAATTTCTCTCCAACAATTATTTGTTTCTGGTCAGTACCAGCTTCAAAAATAGGGGCCCACTCCGGAAGAGATTTTTTGACTTGTGGACCATCTGTATTAGACCAGATAGATAGTGTTATAAGGTATCTTTGAAGAAAGTTGACAAACACTTGTTTCAGGAATACGTCCTTGGGCTCGGATCATGTACTATTTCAAGCAGACGCGTCTATCCATAAATAGTAGCAGGTTACGCGTACTTGGGAAGACCAAATCTGAATTTGCCAGTACATAAAGACGACCATAATTCTCTCACACAGGCGTCATATCTAATCTGTGATGAGGAAATCCGACAACATCAAACCAAAATTTAGCAAAACCTAGAGAATCTGTGCATCTTACTCCTTACTATCTGATGCACAGAACTATTTCAGTTAGCAATGACAACGATGAAAAGTAAAAACAGCATAAACACAAAGTGATTAGGAATCTTAGTAGTAGTGAGTAGCAAAAGCTAGATATGTCTGAGTTTGATCAAAGCTGGTAATCCCTTATGTTCATTAGACAGACTAGTCTATCAAATAGGAAGATGGGTCTCTAACAAACAATCAGAACACGTTGCTGGAATCCTCCAGTTAGTCTAAAGCTACACTTCAACTGTTCAACATTCTCCCAAAATGTGAGTGTCAAATTAAACTGTCAATTATTACTGACGTTTGCTGCCAACCCAAAACAGAACCTGAAAACTTGTAGAAACTACTATATAGAAATCATAAATAGTCCTTTTAAATTGGTCTCTACTGCTGTACAGCCATTTAAGAGAAATCCCCCTGCGATAGACTCGAGGGAGTGAGACTGACCAACATATTCTTAGCATTTATCGTTACCCATTACGTTACTACAGATCAGGAGCCACAAACTTGAAAATACAGGACAACTTTCATATCTGGAAAACGGCACACAAACCGAATCTTAGCTGTTCGCCAGGCTCTGGACACAGACACTTCGTCTACCCCTTTACCTGAATAGACCATTTGAGTCCACCGATCGCAAAATCTTGTATCCATCTGCCTGTAAAAGGAGATGTCTTTAATAACGATTCCTGCTCAACACATTGACAAACTTAACAACGACTTATAAGTGGTCAATCTCCTATCCAGAAAACTTCTAGATACAGATGAAAAATGCGGTGATAGGATACAGGGTCTCGTGAATACCGAGGCCCTAGAATGTCTGGTACCTGTCAAATGTAAGTTGATGGCTCAAGACTAGTCTGCGCCCTTATCAAGTCTGCGGTTGACCACTTAACTAACTTGGGAAATCACACCAACAGATATACCTGTCTGCTTTTGATACTTGCTCCACTCATATACATATATATTCAAACTTTTGCTTGGGCACTAGTTTGCATTGGTGACTCATTCGACCATAGGGAACGAAGTCATTAGGTGTGATGAGCATCTCTTTCCCCTAGTCGTCAACGAAATACTAGCACCAATAAAAAAGGTTTCATTTGAGTTTTACCAACTTGCATCACTAGTTGGGATACCCTTATACTATTTATGAACTGAGTGTACCCTATTGTATTGCTACAAAATGCAGAAGCGGGTGGAATACTGATAAAGACCTTATGTACTTGATTACCAATGCCTTCATATAATAGTTTACAAATAACACAGTGATTAGACGTAGAAAGTTAGGTACCAAAAGTGGATCAGTTGATGACGCTGTAAACCATCACCAGCCGAAGTGAATGCGACAAGCACTAAGCAAATCAACTATTTACCCCGACAGGGTATGCTAACCAGAGTAAAATGACATTGAAGGAAGGTCAGTTAAAGATGTGCAACCAGTTTATTAGGTGAGTGGTTGTTAATTTCGAGCTGTGAAGATAAATATGTGCTAGCTTGTTTTATACTGAGGTTAGTTGTAACAAGAAATGTAGGACAGATCAAGGAAATGCATCCACCCCTACTCTTGCTTGGGGAGTTGCATCATCCCGAACCGGTTGCTGACGAGATCTCAACTCGGATACACAAAGCTCGTTTGGCATTCACCAATTTGCATCATTTCAAGCACATCCTGGTGAGATATTTGACGATATATATAAGTATACTGCGCTGCAGTCCGTTCTTTGCTGTTACGCACTGCTGTTTAATGTAGAAGATATGAACTGGTTACAGGTTTTTGAACACAGTTGTCTTCGTAGCATTGCTCGAGTATGCTACGATCACCATGTGGAGGTTAAATGAGAGGTACTCGGCAAGCCAGTCAGTAAGGTGGCTTACATGTGTTGCACATGCTGAGCCACCCTCTACGTGTACATCCAATGCTAGGGAAATTTGGAAAAAGGTATAGGGTCGCTATACTAAGACTTGTCACCAGTCTACAAAGCTCCAGACTATTGGTCTGAGCTACATAGGAAGGTGCAGACTGCCTGGCTTCAGTCCCCGAGACCATAGGAATCAATGGTTTCAGACTCTTGGTGATATGACTGAAAATCAGTCACAATGGTGCGAACGTATTCACTCTTCGATATCTTACAAAGTTTTAATGTTTTGATCAACCTTCATTTTTAAATTCCTCCTCTGATACACCTTTATCCAATTTGATATCAGTCTTTTTCTATTCACTCGTTCTTTGTACGCTACTGTGAAGTGTGGCTAATGGAATCGATGCACTTCTGTGCGAAGTTGTGTGTTGATTTTGTCTGTCTGTTTTTATTAAGATCTCCAACGAACTTCTAACTGGTGGTTCACAATTATCAAAAACTATAACACTAAATCAGGACAATGTACGAAATGTAACTGAGTGTCTTTTATGTGTGGCATAAGTGCAAGCTCTAAAGAAATGTAGCTGGTGTTTTTATCGTCATCATATGCGTAACAGAGTAACAAGTGGCTGAGAATACAACGGTTCTTTGAAGGTTATCTGGCTTGACATATATGGCTGCACACACACACACACAAATACACTCGAGTTTACGGTTAATAGTATAAGTATGGTACACTGCTCAAACCTCTCACAAACAGAGATAATGTTATTAATATTGCTAACTCGCACAGAAAAACAACTACACATTGGTCAATAGATTCTTATCTTTTATAAAAAGGATTGTATGGATGTATACAGCTGAACTCATTTCATAGTGTTGATGCGTTTCCTTTTCTTCTTTCGTTTTTTCTTGCATTTTGGGGCCTTCAAAATTTGATGAAGGGGATCTTTTGATTGATCTACATTTTTAGGTGAGTTTTGTACACAATTATTAGTTAATAACATCTTGTCCAAACGTGCAGGTGCTGGCGGGATGGCGATTTGATAGTAATTGCAAATTTCCAAAAGCTGCTTACGTTCTTCAGCATCAGCGATAAAACTAACAGCCAATCCAGTGCGTCCAAAGCGACCAGAACGACCAATACGATGCAGGTATTCACTTGCATTTGTTGGTAAGTCAAAATTCACAACTAAGCCAACTGTCTGGACATCAATACCTCGAGCCCACATATCACTGCTAATTAGAATACGACTGAAACGAAGGTAGGAGGTAGTAATTTGAAAACAGAGAGCAGAAGTGAGCATATTTTTGTAAAGAGCACAATCAACGTGGAGGGAAAAGTAAAACAACCCTACTCATAAACATATACCTCTTTTATAGGCTATCATTTCTGCGGAAGAGTTGGAAAAGGATGACGCAGCTCAATGCTTGCATTCCAATTCAAGTATATTCGTTTGTGAGCTACAACCTTTTGCAAAAACGCTGATAATAATGCTTGATTGCTCACAAAGAGCTACATTAAATTTCCCATGATAATAATTATTAATCAAATGTGTGGCTCAGTGGTGTAGTGCGTAGCGCTCTGGCGTTTGAAGCGATCGCTCCTGAGTCCCGATGGGAACAATATCACTTACTGGGAGGCAGATACATCCAGCCGACGAGTCCCAAATAGGATGAAATGCGCATCCTGGATCCCACTGCTAGCCACTATCCATCTTTACTATAACTAGAACACAGGTATATCGAGGCATCCGCACGGGATCCCTATGCCAATAGAGACTGATCAATTCGGTCCAATCAACGACGGTATAATACAAGCATTAACACTAAAACGTTTAGAGCTTGGAAAAAAATGAGTCTACATCATAAATTAATTGACACGAAGTATTTCAGCCACCAGACTATTAATTTCAACAGTTATTCATTATTGTATTTACTCTTGAAGTGATCATCGATAGCGAATCTGTATAACAGGTTGGAAGAAAGTGAGTGTATAAATATGTAGGATAATTATTACGTAACTATAAACTGAAACGTTTTGAACAGCCGTCGCAAAAAGTGCGGTTTTCACCATGAAAGACTATCGATTAGAAGTTCTCAATAATACAGAAAGCACCAGACAACTGTGTCACACTGGTTTTAGACCGTACTACAGGGACATGAATTCCCATATAGCGCCAAAGTCATGGAGAGAACACGTCGTGGTTAAGCTTTCAGCTGGCAATCCAATAGCCATTATATTTAACATGAGGTTATTGACTAAGTTTTCCCAACTACTAAGGTCTAGTGACAGACAGCTACAGGCTGTGCGTACGGCGGCAAGACAATGGGGTGCATTATTCAAGAGTTCCACACTGAGACAAGAAGGTCATAAGAGTTTAAAGGTCTATAATGGTCTCAATTTTAAATTTATTCACTCTTTAACTTAACCAATACCCCAACAGAATCAGCTTGAAAAAGTTTTCCTTTCTTCTACATAAGCACAGTTGTGGGCCAATGGAAAACTTTTACCTGACATCACTTTTGTACATACAATTTTACGATGGGAAACCCTGACTATCTGATAACAAAAAAACCGACTTAGTTCCAGAGTTCACGCAAGGTTTTAAGTTGGGGTAAGGATTTTTCATCACTGGCTTTAACTAGATGCACCCTCAACGTGACTTGTAACAATTAAAATACCTACTGGTTCATAAATGATACAATGAAAGTTTGGATAACGGAAACAAATGACGTGTGTCATATTCTGGAAAACCAACTACTCGGTTTATCATAACATCTATAGAGCATTTGTAAAGCGTACACTACCACTTCTAAAAGTAACTCTGGAAAAGTAGCTTCTACGGTATAAACAGCGGAGAAAATATACCGAAAACAAAAATGTATTCAGCACACCGGGTGATTTAAATGTACAACTGAGGAGGTTAATTTCAGCGAAAACGCACTTAGGTAGTACCTCTCCAATACCAGCCCAGTTATCTGATAATAATGATCATTCGCTGAGTGTGTTTGCTGTAAACCAGCCCGTTGTTAGAACTACGAAATGCTTGATTTTGCCGTCACCAAACAACAAACAAAGATGGATTACGTCAACATCAATTACTGTTGGGTAGGATATACCATCGACTAGATGTTAAATACATGTCAGATCAGGTACGCACTAGTCTGGCTTCTAGTTAAGCTAAAACAGCACAAATGAAAAATGTCTGTATAGTTAGAAATGTGTTTAAAGGAGAAACTGACTAGATGGTTAATGGAACATGAGAGCGTCGGTTACCTTACTGAAGTTTGATATAATTTCAATGTTGCAAAGGTGATGACACAGGTTGTTGGTGATCTACACGCTTTAGTGTGAGTTAAGCTCGTCTTGCGCTTTGGTGGTCATCAAAACCATCGTCCTAAACAGTTCGATACAAGCAAATTATTTGCACCTGACATTGCAGCTAAGTACCAATCCAAGCCAGATTTAGGGCTGGCTACCGACCCTTCAGAAAGTGTAGACGAACACTGGCTGCCAAGCTGCTTGCGGGTTGGAAGAATGTCCCATTAGTAAATACTAGGTCTCTGCGATCCTCCTGCAACTTCTTGACGCCCGTCGGACCATTCTGGAGGATAGCAAGTACAGTGATTCGCGTAAGCCTCTTACGCGAAAGATTGTACAACGCTTGCTCATGGACCATGAGGCTTGGTGGTCAGAATGCTTGAGTGAGATGGAAGCAGCAACTGCATCTGGCGACAGTCGGGACTTGTTCCAGTTCATTCGATCCACTGGCAGATAGAAGCCAGGTGTCTGTGAGACGGTCTATAAGGTAGATGGTACGCCGACAAACAATCTTAAAAGATGTTTGAAGTACTGGGAAGGGCAATTCGAAAAGCAGGTTAGCTGGCAAACGGCTCCAGCATTGTCAGATCCAGTGTATCGTGCTTCATGGTCAGTTAACACTGACCAACCTAACGAAGTGCAGGTCCATAAGGAACTCCAAGTTCTGAAACCCCAAAAGGCACTCGGCCCAGACAACTTACCTTAGGCCTTTTTTAATTATGGAGGAACGACTCTAGTCAAGGGACTGACTAGATTGTTTGGAAAGGTGTGGCAGACTGACAGTGTTCTATCACTGTGGAATGAAGCCATCTTTGTGCCCACCTCTATAAAGAGTCTGCGTTATGGATGTGACAATCATCGGGTATTGGTATGTTACCAATCGCATCGAAAATATTGGTTGCTGTCATACTTCACTGACTGCAAAACACATGAAGAAATGACTCGTGAGGAGCACACCGAGTTTCGTTCAGGTTGTGAATGCACTGAACATGTGTCTACCCTCCAGTAAATGCTTGAACATCACCACACGTATTGCAGGCCAACAGTTGCTGTGTTTCTTGATATCAGGGTTGCCTTCGATTCGTTGGACAGAGCTGTATTCTGGATTTATGTTGGGGAGGAGCGTACCTGAGAAATTTATTGACATCTTGAAAGCCCTATTTAATAACACCACAGGTAGAGTTAGGGCACACAACTATCTGTCTCTATTGTTCTAAATAAGCAGTGGGGTTACTCAGGGTTGTCCGATTTCTCCATTCGCCTTTAACTTTAACATCGATAACGTCCTACAGACAGCTGTGAAGGAGGTGCGTGACGGTAGTGTAGATCTACTACTCGGAGAATGACTATTCCACCTTGAATATGCGGACGATATCATCTTACTATGTGATAACACACAGGTTACTCAAATCTCACTTAAGCGGTTGGAGATTAATGTTCGTAAGTATGGTATGTGTTTTGCACCATTGAAGTGCGAACTACTTTTTTCAAGACTGGTGGAGGTGTATGATGAAATTCCTAACAGCATGTCGAAAGCCATAGTGGCATACACCGATCTTGGTCACCTTTGCCGTCGTCATGACGTTATTCTGATCGTGAAAGGTTTCGTTTACAATGCCTTGGTGAGAGCAGTTCAGTCCTACGCCTATGAAACCTGGCCTTTCCGAGCTGATGATGTGCGATGACGATTCTGTATTCCATCATCATTGTCTGCGTAGGATTTATCTTATCCGGTGTCAACTCCATGTAAGTAATCCTGAGGCACGACAGCGTGTGTTCGTCGTCATACAATGAGTAAAGTCATCTGGAAACACTGGCTTCGTTGGCTTGGACATGCGTTATGCCTGTCATTCCAACGGCTTCCACACTGTTCATTGTTTGACAGCCCCGGGACTGGATAGAAGAAGTGGAGGGATGGTCAGAATATGACGTCGCGCCATGGGATGAAGGATAGTTGTATCGGGCTAGCATTTGTTAGTGCATCACGACTCTCTGGATGGGGTCTGAGAGATCACGTAACTCAGTAGCTTGGGACGTTATCATCAGATATGGCCCAGAATGGAAACTAGTGGCGGTCATGCTGTAACTTCCTTCCATCTTCTGCTGCTGAAAAGTAATGAATGTTTTGTTTTAAATGTATCTTAATAGACTGCCCTTTCAATCATCCTGTTCTTGTTGCTTTTCTTTCCTACTTATATACTTCCCATCGTTTATGTCTTTACAATGCTGTTATACTATTTTGTGGGCGTATTACTTGGTGCCCTTTCTGTACCAGTCTGTGTTCGAAGAAGAAGAAAAAGAAGAATAGTAATAATACTAATAATACCTGAAGGGGAAAAAGATTCGTATGACTGCAGAGCCGGTGAGACACCTGCCTGTCACATGCAGCCTTTTGTAAAATGTTGTTTTGAGGTTTGGTTGTTCTAACGTCAGGTAGGAGAAACCCATACCGCCGGCTTCGGAAGACCATGGGGTAGGTTGAGTGTGTTATTTTTTGGGCCGACCTTTTTAACTGTCCCTCTTCCTATAGGAAATGCAGTATCAGCGTGATACCCCTCGTCATCCACCGGAAACATCTGACTTCTGTCGCACTCCATCCAGTCAGCAGTACGACTTCTCCTTCAGACTCCTATCATAGTGTAGCAAGTTAAACTACAAAAGTAACCGCTTTTCGTCATACCACTATCCAAAAAACCTTTCTGGCATGGTAGGACCTAGAGGGAACACGCGTTCCATCAGCATAATTCGTTAGGTCAATGTGATATACAAGCCCGACTACCACGTCAAGGTAGCAGCTATAAGTCGGGTATGCTCGTTGGAAGAAGAGGACGGGAAGCGTATAACTAGAGGACAGATAGGTAAGCGTTTATCTGAACACGACAGGAACTCTTATCCTAATGAAGCCTAGTTCAATATGCAGTCTGCTGTAGAAACAGCAGTAAAGACAGTTGGTAATCTACATCCAAAGTTTGGCAAATGCCAGTGGATTTCCGCAACTTTATCTGATTAGATTGATGCGAGAAGACTCATCCCAGCTAGCTTCAACCACAATGATGAGCAACAATAACTTAACTGTAAATTGAATAAGATTTTCAGCAATGATCGACAGCAGTAATGGACTGAGAAAGCGAGAGAGATGGAAAAGACGTCACTATTAGGTTATCATCAGAAATTATTTAGGCTCATCAATAATACTGGTAAGAAAGAGACAGTGGTCAGTAAGTCCATCACCAGCTAGGATAGGTCCCTTTTAACTTTTCAGGATAGGTGACGAACGTTAAGTATTTTAAACAGTTTAAATGACTGAAAACCACGTTTCAATTGCCCAACATCCAGCCCGAACTTAAATGGGATGTAGATGCCAGCCGTCCGAATCGCCTTGAAGATGAGGCGGTTTTAAGCTTGAAACGATCTAAGGCAATAAGCGTGTATCAGTTTGGTAACAAGTTTTTTTAGCACAGAGGCAGAAATTTATCGAGTAGAGTAATGGAAGTACTACGTAGTCGTTTCAGACTAGTCTGGATAGTCAGTTATTTCAGTCTATAAGACAGAAAGTCTTCTAGTGACAAATACTACGGGGTCAGTTTGACTAGCATTGTCTAAGAACCTAGGATCCAAAGTTAAACGACGCTGAATTGGAGCTTGAGAACAGTTAACTCAAGAAAAACCAGGCAGATTTCACACCTGACGAGGATACATCGATCAAATCCCCGACTGGGTTTAGAACACGAGTGTACTTAACGGAGACCGACACTTGCAATATTTATTGACGAAAAGTTGCATTCCACCCTATCAACCAAAAAATACTGTGTCTGAATGTGAAGAGAAAACTGAGCAAGTATACAATGCTAAACAAGGCTTCTCACTTCAACTCAGGCAATCATATGAGAGATTAGGGAAAGTTGTCATCTGAAGTGACAACAACCAGTGGTGTTCACCAAGGATGCCCGTTGTCACTGTTCCTGTTTAACTTCGTGACAGATATATTGACGGACATGACCTTATATACCTTCGACTGTATAATGACTGAATTACTCCTAGTGAAGCACCTGATTCACTTCAATGACAAAGACGACATTGTTCTGCTAGGTGAAGACACTGACAGAATGAAGAGTCTTCTGAACGCGTGCATACCCATTGAACGTTCTGAAGATGCTATACTCGAAAATTCATGTTTGTGTTACAACCTACAGTGAGGTAAAGGGTGAGACGTCTGTATCCAATGCTTTCATTGAGGAGGTCCACTATCCCTTTACATTCGATCTTAGCATAGGAATACTTGTGGATATCTTCCTCTCCTGAACCGAATTGAACATTTTGCAGAAGGTCTTTTTGTTGACCTAAATTAAAGAGAAGACATAATACTGTCATATTAAGACGCTTGAAATCATGCGAAATCTTCTGGATATTTCGAATTACAACCTCCTGAATGGGAATGGTCTATTTTGATATCTTATCTAAAAAGAAGTGGATTTGATGAATACATTGAACGCTACTCTGAACCTGCACTAGCTTATTGTCATATCACCATTTTCGTCTAATGGAACCTCTACTTGAGCAATATAGGTATTGAAACTAAATTCTCAGATAAAGGGGTTAAATCAGATGATCCAGTTCTAAGCCTTCATTAGTTGAAGTGACTTTGACATTACGCGTGGATACTCCTAAGAGTCCAATAAAAAATAATACCGCTTCGTACTACAGTAGTAATTACAAGCTAAAGAAAATTAACAGAAGAATTACCATTCACCGGAACGAAACTGTTTCATGACTGACTCTCGTTGAACCTGATCAAGATCACCATGAGCGGAAGCAACTGTGAAACCTTCTCGATTTAACTGATTCGCAAGCCATTCAACTTTTCGCCTTGTGTTGACAAAAACAACAGTTTGTGAGACACAAACACTAGAAAATAGATCACTTAAAGCTTCAAATTTCCACTCTTCTGAGCCAACATCAATGTAGAACTGGTGAAGACCGGAAAGGCTAAGTTCATCTCTGCAAATAAAATATAAGATGAAAAACATAATGTAACGATAAAAAAGGTTCCAAAGATATTTCTTAGTGATAAACAAAACCAAATTAGATAATGCTTATATACAATGCGCTTTTTAATTGATTGATCATTAAGGCTGATTTAATACAGTTTGGAGGTTTGTGGGTACTGACTGATTCCAAGGTAGTATTCATCACGGAATGACACCAGTTAGAGAAACACTGGAAAACTGGAGGCAGTGGCATCTGATACCACAGGGACTTTCCCGAGAGTTATGTTGCAGCCTTGGTTATCCAAAAATGTCGAGAACGGTACAAGCAGCTATCAATGCATGCGGCGGTAAGTTTCAACTAGCGGGTCTATTATGTTGCTGTATTTCATTTGGAAATACCACTTTTGATGAAGTTTGTTACATTACTAATGCTAATCTCAACCTGTTGGCTCTCCATTGGTTCGAGAGTTTGAAACTCACTGACCTTCCATTGAATATTGTGTGCAACAAAGTTAAAGCACCGTCAGACGTCCCTACGAACACTAACGATATTATTACAGAATATTCAGATGTTTTTTTAACCTGGCCTAGGTCACTATACCACAACCAAAGCAGTCATACGCCTGAAACCAAATGCATCACCTGTTTTTCTTCCTTGAAGACCCGCCCCATATGTATCGTTACCTCTCGACGAGGCAGAAACGACTCCAGGAACAGGGTGTCATTACTCTAGTATCTTATTTATCTTGGGCTCCCCTAATCATTATTGTAAAGAAAGCTAATGACTCCGTCCGACTATGCGCTGACTTTTCGACAGGTTTAAATGCTGCTCAGGAGCAACATCATTACCTCCTGCCTGTTCCAGATGATTTATTTATCAAACTAAATGGAGGAAAATATTTCGTAAAAACCAGCTTACAAGTGGAAGTCTCTCCAGAACGTTGCGAATTCATAACTATCAGCACCCACCAGTACAATCATCTAATACTCGACAATCAAACTGCCCCTGCTATTTCCTAACGGATCATGGACATTATGCTAGCAGGCGTTCCAGATGTTGCTAAATACCCTGACGACGTCATAACAGTTGCCACCTGTTCAACGGAACTAACGAATCGAATATGGTTGGTCTTACAGCGAGTCCTAGACAACGGTCTTCGACTCAAAACGGAAAAATGTCGATATACTTTACAGTCAGTAAAATATTTAGGGTTCATCTCTGGTACATCTGGTTGATCTCACGACCCTGAAAACATTCACGTCATATAGCAGATGCCAACTCCAATAGATATCGCGACGCTCCTATCATTTCTTGGTCTAATCAGTTACTATTCGGCGCCCTGCACTCCCTACAAGATATACGGGAACTGTTGAGTCATTTCTTACGCAAGGATGCTACGTGGTCCTGGTCAAGAGAATGTGACACCAAGCTAGAACGACTCAAATCCACTCTCAGCTCTGACCTTCTGTCAACATAATACGACCCATACCTACTAATCGTCGTTGCCGCAGATGCTTTCACCGCTAATGTTGGAGCAGTCCCATTGCACGAATATCCGGATGTTCACAAAAAGCTGTTATCCATATATCTTGATCTCTCACGTCAGGAAAAATGCTACTCGCAGACAGAGAAGGAAGTACTTGTCTTAGTCTTAGCTTTTACAAGATGCAGTATGGACGGAAATCCACCTTGTTCATCTATTAAAAGCCCCCTTCTCTCAATCTGGGTCAAAAGGCGATGTTCCAGCTCATTCCATCAACAGACTACAGCGGTGGGCTGCAACATTACTGGGCTATGATTTCGATATTAAATATAGCCGAACAGAAGACTTTGGACACGCAGATGAACTTTCAAGGCTTATAAATGAGCATCCTACGCCCAACAAAGACACAGTGATTACATTAGTATCCACAAATGATTATGCAGTTCACCTACTAAATTGTATAGTCTGCGCGCTTCCTATCACGTCGGCTCAAATCAAAAATGAATTCCCCAAGGACCATATTATACAAGAAGTCATGCATTATATCCAGACGAAATGGCCACAGAAATAGTTTACCGGTGATCTGAAACAATCCTTCTATAGCAGAGAATCCCTTTGTCTTGGTTGTATTGTGTTCTCTGAGCTGGGTTGTTTAGTCATGGAGCTTTCATTGTCTTCCTAGAAGACGTCTTCAGCACTAACTTCATACAGAAGATTTATTTGACAGAGAGTTTGAATATTGTAAACTTTAGTGTAAAAATGGTAGTCTTAGGAGATCAGGAATGATGCTTGAGGGGTCTAAAAACCTAACAATGATCATAGAATAAAAAGTTGAGAAAATCATGTGTGACGGACTCGGTAATTAGTGGGGATAATTTAACCATAGCTAAAATAAGAGAATATTCACCAATATGCTTTTTATGCAATTGGTACTCCTAAAAGGATACCCCAGTTGCTATGGTCATGAATAGTAGAGTAGTGCTATCAGATTATCTAAACAACATACACTTAAACAATAAATTTAACACACCAAACGGGAAAATAAAATAAAAAACATTTGGTTAAATCTGTATCTAAGCTTCAACACGCAGGAGAACGTCCTACTATGCATTTGAGTGGTGGTGTAGAGATATATTAGAACTGCTAGACTAGAATGATCCACCTCGTTTCTATACAACTCTTAACACTTTGGTGCAGGTACTAAAAATACTATCCGAAAGACTACATACAACTAAGCGGGAATCATATTCTTTGAGACCCATATAATAAATGCATAATTAGTGCAACTCACCGACAACACCTATAATGAAGTATTCGTCTATGAGACATCCATATTGTGAGGCCTAATGCTACTATCTACCATGCATTTACGGCTAGAACTAATGCCATCTCAACTGCTCCCATATTGTTTACTCTTTTCCAGCCTTGGATGTGTTGGAAGAAGCTGAGAAGTAATTAACGAATGAAATGGAGTTCGGGTACACGTGGTGGTTGTGTTATTTCACCATCTTTTGGTGAATTGTGACTCTTTGAGTGATGTTCAAGAAATTACACCATTCAATTACCTGATACGTTATTAAATATGATTCAGGATCAAAACCAGTGGTCACCATACTGCAACTTCTACTTTTCTTATGTAAGTCAAAAAGTAAGACGAGAGTAATTAACACCATTTTGTGAAAGCACCTTATGAGACCGTTTCTCTTACCATTCTACCACTTTATCTTTAGTATCTCCTATTTAATGTCTTTATAATATTGTTATGTTACTTTCAAGTCATGTTTCTCAGCGAATAATATCTACCTTAACAAACCTCCGTAGACTAAGTGGGATTTGAATATGTGATACAGCAGACAGAAAACGAGTGACTAAGCCAACTGATTTAATAAATGCGTCATACAGTGAAACGGTAGTATTTACTGCATTATCTTTTAGTCACAACTTTTTTCTTTAGTCACACCAAGATATCTCTACAACTTTGAGATATAAACCATGTCTCGAAATTGTAGAGTCATCTTGATATGAATATGGACAACGAATCGTGTCTGAAACGTAACTCAGTAAATAATATTGTCCCACAGTGTGGTATATCTGGTACGTCAACTAAAATGGAACTACATCTTACCAGTACCCAAGCTTTACTCCTATATACAGTTTCACTACCGCAGCAATGCCAGGTTTCATGTTGACATTATCCCTTTCACTATAAATAAAAACGAAAATGTGTCAATAAATTGGGTGTCTGCAAGCAACTTAGGCAATATGAAAGCAGTTTGAAGTAGCAGTGGTGGATGTACAGTTTAACTTGGAGAATCTATAGTTACAGGTGAAGAATCCAGATCATAAAGAGGATCACCACTTCTAACAGACTTTCAGAAGTGATATTAAAATTCTATGCCTTCCATGACCTCAAATGCTGAGAACTTTTACTTTAGTATACCAAACTAAACATAATTTGCAGTTGCCATTCGTTTTTCCACATGAAATTTGAAGGTCTTACTTATCCCTTCTTCGAAAAAAGCAGCATAAAATAATAAAATAGAAAAGTCACAATTTGCAGACATAAAATTGTAAAACTAGCCTTGGTACAAGAACACGAATTGGGTTGGATGTGAAATTTTGAAACAGCTCAAGGTGCTCTTTAGGCATGGTAGCAGACACGATAATTATTTGACAATTAAGCGATTTTTTATTGTCCAACCAATATGAGATGGGAGGCGGCGATATATCTCTTCTAACTGATCACGTAAGCCTCTGTTCAGCATTTCGTCAGCTTCATCCAAGACCAAGGAACGGAGTTTTCCAACACGTAGATTACCTTGTCGAAGAAGCTCTAGAGCAAAAAACAATGGAATGAATTTAAAGTTAACAATTTAGAGGTGAAGTAAAGTGATTAGTGAAACAAGCATAAGTGAGTGCTATTCAGAACAGATAGTGAAGGATGACTAAAATGTTATTAAAAACCCAATTTTAATCAATTGAAGCTCAGAGAACAATTCTATCGGAACAGAGAACTTTACATTCAGCTGCAAAATATTATCAAGCACCACTGTATCCAAATAAAAATTATATCCAGTCATTCTGCAGAAATAATTTATACCATAAGAATCTGTAAATATCTCAGTCTCAACGAAAAACGATTTGCTGTAGAATGAATCAAATACTGCTCATGAGTTTATGTGACTTTTAGACGTCAATTATTTTTAGATAGAAGTTATCAAATACGACAAAAAATAATCCACTGAGAAAATTAGACAATAAGATGAACAAACAACAAATTTTGACTAACTGTGGTCATGATTTTATTTACAAAAAGCGAAAAATTTAGTTAGTGGACAATGGACAATTACATTTACTGAAGCAAATGTCTGATCTGCTCTAAACGATAAGCAGACTCCAGAATATGATATAAGATGGTTTCTCTTCATGATAAGAATACTTAAGATAACTTCAAAACTAACCGCTACTGAATAAACAAACGATGCTTTCGAAAAGCAAATAATCGAATTTTACTTCTAGCACTTTCACTAGTAAAGTAACTGAATGATAACAAATATCTCTGTTTGCAAATAACTACCGTAAATTGACTGATGCCGCATTTTAATCAATAAAAAAGAAGAACATAGAAGCCATAGAGATAGGACAAAATCAGCCTAGAACCTCCCACACAAGTGCACTGGTTCCAGTTACTATACTTGACAATAGCATATAAAGAACAAGTGGACATAAAAAGAGAGATATATGAGCAGATAAAGGTGTTTGAGTTAGTAAAAAACTTGGCGAAAAAGGTTACGTCAAGTACTCAACCATTAGAAGACATTCAATGAGAGAAAACATCTCCACAACTGACATGTCAATGAAACTCCTCTACAACAGATTCTCACCACTTCGCGGAGAAAATCATGTAGGCTTTACCTGTATAAACGTATTAAAGACCAAGAGACTTCAAAGGTAGGAGACACATCTTGCTTTGGTCATTCAGAACCTAATCCAAATCCTCTACAAGAAGAAGTCGAGACAGGCAGTGGATCGCCACGCGCCGTACATGCTCAAAACATCTCAGTTGACGAAAGCGCACAACGCCAACGACTAACCTGGCTTTCCACATAATACACTTCTCCAGAACACAACACTGCGCACATACTGATGTTAGCATACAAGAACAATACTACGAAAACAACTGTGGTCAAAAACCTGTAACCACTTCATTTCGTCTACTTTTAACGGCCACGTCTTATAGCCGTGTGTATAACAGCAGAGAACGGACTGCAGAGCAGTATGCTTATCCTCTCATACATAGTCGAATATCTCACCAGTGGGCACGAAAGATTATGCTGGTTGGCAAGTTCCAAATGGTCCTTCCGTATCCAAGATGAGATTTCGTCAACGACCAACCGGTTCGAGCTGATGCAACTCTCCATCCATTGGGAAATACAAATATCAAAATAATGAAGTGGCTGCCACATTCTGCCACTCCACCCTATCATTAAACCTGAAGTAGTTGCAGATCAGTCCTGAGGCATCATTTCACATTTTACGGGTGCCAGAGGGACGCATGCCAAACACACTCAGATTCCTATCCAACGTGCTCAAAACACTCTGCACTCTGTCAGCGACTTCACCTAGCAGGACAATGTCATCTGCGTACTCCAAGTCAACCAGATGACCTCCAGGGAGTAGATCAATTCATGTGAAGTCAGACTTACCTAAAATTATGTCCATTAAGACATCTACAGCGAAGTTAAAAATCAACGATGTTAGCGGCCATTCCTGGCGGACACCACTGGTTGTCGTCAACCTACATGACAAGCCGTAACATAGCTACGTGAATTCGAGTAGACAGCTTTGATTAGTGTTACACACTTATGCGGAGACTACGAATAGACATCGCTTAATCCCACCACCCCTCCTAGTTCTCAAAGATTCATTCAGTCGAAAAGCTCACAAACGGCTGTTGACTGGTATTCAGTTGAGAAGTGCCCTTACTGTTCTACAACTCAATGGTATGCCTACACCATCGAATCCACAAGAGTTAGACTCTGAACCCTGAATACTCATACAAGGAATTTCGAGGATTCACTACAAAGCCCATGAGGTAGGGTCAAGATAATAACCACACTCGGGTCCTGTATGCATGTCACAGAAACACAGCAAACATCTATGGCTTGATATTCAAAAGTTCTGCTATCCGATTCAGCATAGAGTTTGGACAGTGAAAGCTCCTACATGAAATCAACAGAGAGGTTTTAGGAACTAGAGATAAGGTTTGGATGACTTGGATCGTTGGCAATGGTCACAGAGTGAAGGGTTGGGGAAGGTCTAAGAGGCTTAACATTAGTATCAGAAAGTGAAGGCGAAGGGGAAAACAGAGTTGAGGAGGATGGGTTGTGTTTGACGGAAGGTTGTATACTACTGGAAGTGGGCACGTGTTTGACACTTCCCGGCTGCCCACACCATGGGTACCTGAAATGGAAAAATATTTGTGGGACCACAGGGCCTATGGGACACCTGCGCTTCAGGTCTGTCACACAAAGCCTCTTTAGGATGGATGGTGTGAGGTGTGATTGTTCTGTCGCCGGACAGAGACAGCCCATACCGCCGGCCCCGGAAGACTATGCAGAGGAGAGTTTACTATTTGCTTGGTCGACCTTCCCTAACTACCCCCTTCCCGTAGGGAAGGTAGCATCAACGTGATACTGCTGGTCATTCACCGGAAACACCTGACTGCTGTCACACTCCATCCAGTCAGCAGTACGACTTTGCCCTTGGACCCCCATCATAGTGCAGCAATTAACACTAAAATGGTAACTGCTCTTCCTCTTACCACTATCCAACAGACCTTTCTGATATGGTAGAACCTCGAGGGGAAAAGCGTTCCAGTCAGTTTAGCTCGCTGGGTCATTGTGATATGCAAGCCCGACTACCATGTCAAGTTAGCAGCTGTTGAGTGAGAGAGGTCATGTGCTCAGTAGTGTAACATTACTTGTTATTTGACATGTTTTGTCATTAGTGACCGAAGATATGAAACTCCTTGGATCATATTATCATTACAGTCGTTCAGATGACAAGGTTTAATCAGAGGTAATACGAGAATTAGGGAGTCAAGAAATATTTCTCGAAAGCAAAAATCATAAATACAAAGCGAACCTGCCTACCTAACACTCGACCTGGTGTTCCAACCACAACATGGACACCTTTTTCAAGTTCGCGAGCCATTTGCATTGTGTTGTTTCGTCCTCCACAGCATGCCACACATCTGATAGAAAGGTAATCAGATAGTGAGGATATTACCTAGAATAAAAATTAGTATTTCATAGTTAGGAATCTCAAAACTGTACTTCAAAGGTTAGTCTTCGAATTTTATTCACCAAGACCGCAGATTCGAACACTGTATTTATCTACTTTATTTCTCAAAAGCGCGTAGTTTTTCTAACCTCAAAATATGTTCCTGCAGTTTGCAAACGTTTGCAAATAGCCACTGAGTTGAACCTGTGTTATTCTTTACTTACCTGACTCTGCTTAGAAAATTAAGTGATATCTCTTGCGGTGACAAAATGGTAAATCTATGGAAATATAGTTAGAAAACGTTTATGACAAGAATTGTGCACTACGACATCTGTCTTGCTAAAGCATTAACGCACACAGGTTTTGGATAGTAAAAATTTATTACGGCTTGCTTTCTTTCAATGTTCATTTACCAAACTCAATTCGTCCGTTTTTGTGTTTGCATGAGCTTCCTTTACGTATGTTTAAATATCACCACGAGGCTCATGCTGATGCCTTTAGTGGTAGCCAGTAGTGAAATCGGTGAGCGTTTCAGCCTTTTTAGGAAACGGCACCCGGATGTAGCTGCATCTTAATGATTGTTAGCATCTCTACTGAAACTCAGCATTATTCCAACAGTCGAACAATTCACTTTGTTAGTTAATCAATATCTAATTGATAGATGCAATACACGGCAAAATATGTATCCTAAAATTAGCTTCTAGCTGGAAACAACGACACGGTGATAAAATAAATATACGTATTTGACTTCAGTTGGTAAAGATTACAAAACCCTGAATTCAAAATGAGTAGTCTTTAACACAACAAATCCCAAATGAACTTTATTTACATACATAGCAAGATATGAGACAAAAATAACTTAGTCTTGTACAATTCAAATTCATGTACATCAAATCGTCATTTCAGTTCCTCACTATATGATCTGGATATTTTGGTTTTCAAAATAAACCACCAAAGAATTTCGTAACTAACTTCCACCAAATTGTGTTATTGTAACGTTGGATTTTGAAATTTACAAATAGCCTACTTTAACGGTAGAGGAAAAAAAATTTCTTTCTTAATTCATGCTCCCACAAACGGCAGCTGGTAAATAGTAAATGAACATATGGAGAGACTAGTGAATGTTTTGAGGGCAATGGTCTTTAATTAGGTGAATGCTGTTGCTTAAAGAATCCCAAAAAATCACTAGTCAGATTTAAGAAACCCCATGTAGAGAGCGAAAATACAACCCTACTGCTTTTGTGTTCTACAACCAGCTGGTCCACTAGGAACCAAACTATTCCATTATTTTCTTCCCATGAAGTCTAATGGTAAGCTAAGCTTTAAAAATGAAAAGGTTCGGCAACTTTTAACTTCCACATTCCACCGATGTTTTTTTTTAATAAGATGCTTAAGTATTATAAAAATTGAAGGTTGAACTTTTTAGGATCTCCAGATTGATCACTAACGGGTTACTTCATAGTTCAGGATCTTGTGCTTATTTCCATAAACAGCACTGAGATAGCAGAGAAGACTTGTAGCTCAGGATGTCTCTAAGGACAAACTTCAAACCTCAGAGAACAAACACTTGTCATAAACAGCATTGCCTCATGGTAGTGTTTAGTTAATCGATATCACATGACTGGCCTGTTGAAATACCAGATATATGGGGCCAACCACCTTTGAGGGTTAATATTCTGTGCAGCTTTCTTCGTCTTCAAACCAAAATAGGGAATACACTAGCAAACTAACACATAATCTTAAAAAGCTTTCGCTTTTGCTTCTTTTCACCTGTTTTCATACGCAGTATGCGATTCTCATCTTTCACACGAGCAGAAAACAAGCAATCAAAACTTACGTGGTATATTTGGACAGCTAATTCGCGAGTAGGTGCCAGGATCAGAACCTGGATCTGACAAACCTCAGCACGAATGTTTTGTAGGGTTCCTATGCTATATGTAGCAGTTTTTCCAGTCCCACTTTGAGCTCTGAAATTTAATTAACTTCTGTTCAACATATCTCTTAGGTAACTTACTGTGCGATCACATCTCTCCCATCGATTATTTGTTTGATAGTCTTTTGCTGAATAAGAGAAGGTCTTTGAAATCCTATAGGACAATTACAACAAATAATGAAACAAACCGTAAGCATAAATCCCCTTTAGGAGACTGTCCTTTATCCCCATAGACGCGAAAGTTGGATACGATTTGATTGATTCAGATATACTAAAATCACTTTCGGATAAATTATCCACTCCCGAAAACTCGTCCATGTGAAAGCAAACCACAAAATCCCTTGAAAACGTTGTACCAGAAGTGAGCAGTAGTGTAGATAACAGGAATGCTGGTTGGGATTTATTTTTTACCACAAAGGAAGCTCAGATGATGGACCGTCTGTAAGTGAACGAAAAGCAGTTATGCAGTTCAGTTATATACACATGGCAACCTATTTGTAACTGTTGCCAAAGTGTTATACAACCATGGACTTAAATAGGCTATATTAAGTGCAGTGAAAGCTATGAATAAAGAAAATGCTGTTAAGACCATTCTGTTAATAAACAATGGGTCTTAGGCACTTATCAGAACGATATAGAGTCATTTATTGCGAAGAAGCTTAAAACCACCTCTTTTTTGCTGTAAAAATAGCGTTAAAAATCGTAACTCACCTCAGAAAAAGTAACAAAGAGCCTCTGGATTTGAGCAACCTTTATTGAATTAGTGGATCCACGTGAGCATCTTCCTGCAGGCTACAAGCAAAATGAGGAGCCGAAGTAACTCCAATGTCAAATAAAGGTTTCCCAAGGGCTGTGAGTAATGGTGGGCAACGAAGTTCAAAGGGACGAAGAAGGTATCGGTGATAGCCCAGTTATTTAGACTTGTCAGAGAAAGGGGTTGGAAAAGGCAATGGTTACTGAGAAACAACTGAAACGATGCGCCGTACACTTTAAGAAACAATTTAACTCGTAAGCAATCAACGCGGGTAAATAAACTGGTGCTGGATCTTTGAGATATATGACTGAAGCTGTAAATTAATAAATATTTGGTCTGGGACACCAGCTTTGTTGTCTTCAAAGCATCTACACATGTAAATATTGGTATCGCAACCCCTAAGTAAGTAGAGTCAGTTCGACTAACATAGTTTCTACGATACTAGGATCCATAGTTATTCAACGCTTAGAGAGACACAGAAATTTTAGTCAACTTTAACGCCGATGCACTAATACAGATAAGTTTCCTCTTTCTACTATCCAAGGACTGATTGTCTGGCGATTCAGGAAACTAAGAGTGAATAGACAGTTTAGTGCACTACACAAAAATGTTGGTGAAATACAAGATATTCTCAAGACCTTATGCAGAAATGTTTTTGAAATCTGCAAAATTTAAGGTGATAATGCATGACTGATAAGCAAATCCTACTTTGAGGGTGGCGTGTCAAATGGTCAAATATGTTGTACATCACATTCGAGTAGTTTCATTATTCTAGGCAGACTAAAAACTAACGAAAACTTAGCACGGGTAAAAAAGATCGTTACGTATGCGCGAACCTCCGTTATCTGTAAAGTCAATGCCAACTAAGCTGAGCTGTTAAAGACCAAAGAATTTAGGATTAAGCAGGAAGAAATCTGAGGATAAAATAGACTAAGACAGCAGTAATTCATGACGTCTTTGACTATAAATCTGTACCACGTAGGGAAACCTGAGATCTTTGATGATAACCCTAGAAATAGATTGCAGTGATATAGATGTGCTCACTAATTACCAGACAGACAGGCAGACAAAACCAGCGTAGAACCTCACACAAAAGTGAAACAACTCAAGTTGCCACGCTTGACAGTAGCATATAAAGAACAAGCGGATAAAAAAGACTGACACCACAGTAAAGAAATTTATCGGAAAAGAAGGAATTTAAAAATGGTTAATCAAAATACTGAAGCTTTGAAAGACGTAAAAGATTCGACACATCTACGCCACTGTAACTGATTTTCAGTCATGTCACCAAGAGTCTGCAACCATTGATTCCCATGGTCTCGGGACCCATTTAGACAGTTTACACCTGCCCATATAGTTCAGACCGTGAGACTTCGCACACTGGTAACAAGTCAGCACGGTCAATCTGAGTCATTTCCCAACTAATTCAGATTCTCCAAGAGTCCCATGCATAGAAAGACGATGCTAAGTATGTGCAAAACCGACATTCCTAGTATCTCTTCTTCAACCTCCACATTGCTCACATGGTCATTCTAGCATACAAGAGCAATACTACGAAAACAACTGTGGTCAAAAACCTGTAACCACTTCATTTCGTCTACTTTTAACGGCCACGTCTTATAGCCGTGTGTATAACAGCAGAGAACGGACTGCAGAGCAGTATGCTTATCCTCTCATACATAGTCGAATATCTCACCAGTGGGCACGAAAGATTATGCTGGTTGGCAAGTTCCAAATGGTCCTTCCGTATCCAAGATGAGATTTCATCAACGACCAACCGGTTCGAGCTGATGCAACTCTCCATCCATTGGGAAATACAAATATCAAAATAATGAAGTGGCTGCCACATTCTGCCACTCCACCCTATCATTAAACCTGAAGTAGTTGCAGATCAGTCCTGAGGCATCATTTCACATTTTACGGGTGCCAGAGGGACGCATGCCAAACACACTCAGATTCCTATCCAACGTGCTCAAAACACTCTGCACTCTGTCAGCGACTTCACCTAGCAGGACAATGTCATCTGCGTACTCCAAGTCAACCAGATGACCTCCAGGGAGTAGATCAATTCATGTGAAGTCAGACTTACCTAAAATTATGTCCATTAAGACATCTACAGCGAAGTTAAAAATCAACGATGTTAGCGGCCATTCCTGGCGGACACCACTGGTTGTCGTCAACCTACATGACAAGCCGTAACATAGCTACGTGAATTCGAGTAGACAGCTTTGATTAGTGTTACACACTTATGCGGAGACTACGAATAGACATCGCTTAATCCCACCACCCCTCCTAGTTCTCAAAGATTCATTCAGTCGAAAAGCTCACAAACGGCTGTTGACTGGTATTCAGTTGAGAAGTGCCCTTACTGTTCTACAACTCAATGGTATGCCTACACCATCGAATCCACAAGAGTTAGACTCTGAACCCTGAATACTCATACAAGGAATTTCGAGGATTCACTACAAAGCCCATGAGGTAGGGTCAAGATAATAACCACACTCGGGTCCTGTATGCATGTCACAGAAACACAGCAAACATCTATGGCTTGATATTCAAAAGTTCTGCTATCCGATTCAGCATAGAGTTTGGACAGTGAAAGCTCCTACATGAAATCAACAGAGAGGTTTTAGGAAACTAGAGATAAGGTTTGGATGACTTGGATCGTTGGCAATGGTCACAGAGTGAAGGGTTGGGGAAGGTCTAAGAGGCTTAACATTAGTATCAGAAAGTGAAGGCGAAGGGGAAAACAGAGTTGAGGAGGATGGGTTGTGTTTGACGGAAGGTTGTATACTACTGGAAGTGGGCACGTGTTTGACACTTCCCGGCTGCCCACACCATGGGTACCTGAAATGGAAAAATATTTGTGGGACCACAGGGCCTATGGGACACCTGCGCTTCAGGTCTGTCACACAAAGCCTCTTTAGGATGGATGGTGTGAGGTGTGATTGTTCTGTCGCCGGACAGAGACAGCCCATACCGCCGGCCCCGGAAGACTATGCAGAGGAGAGTTTACTATTTGCTTGGTCGACCTTCCCTAACTACCCCCTTCCCGTAGGGAAGGTAGCATCAACGTGATACTGCTGGTCATTCACCGGAAACACCTGACTGCTGTCACACTCCATCCAGTCAGCAGTACGACTTTGCCCTTGGACCCCCATCATAGTGCAGCAATTAACACTAAAATGGTAACTGCTCTTCCTCTTACCACTATCCAACAGACCTTTCTGATATGGTAGAACCTCGAGGGGAAAAGCGTTCCAGTCAGTTTAGCTCGCTGGGTCATTGTGATATGCAAGCCCGACTACCATGTCAAGTTAGCAGCTGTATGTCTAACTCACTTCTGTCACCTTTGATTTTTAAACGTTTTATTAACTTTCATCTATTTATCTCCGCTCTGTTTAATATCTTGCTTTATATTTCAATAGAAGTGTGTTTGTGCTCATTGTTTTTATGGCGTTCTGTAGTGTTGCAACGACAGGACATAGCACGACGCGATGCCAGTATTCGGGAAATCGGCTTCTGTTCCTGCTTTTTCTCTGAACCTTCACGAATGTGTTAACATTTATCCATCTCCTGAAATGAAGCTGTCTGAGTCCAACGATATTCTCAAACTTGGTTCGCATGGTTGCTGACAGTTTCTGCCTTTAATTCTTTGAAAGCAGGAGGGTTGCTTTTAGATGTGCACTGTTACGAATCCTAATTGTTTCCGTAAAACCCAACTACATGATTTGACAAGTAGGACTGTTTTATTGCTATGCTGTTCTACTTTTATACTCAAGTCTATTCACACATTATGTGTGGCAAATCGCTCTCTTAACAATAAGACTAGTTAAATCATCATTTTATAGGTTATGGTAACTACTGTAACTATCACGTATGGGAACCAGATTTAAAATGAAGGTTTATGATTTGGTTTTTCTCAACCTAACCATAGTGAGTAAACATTCATTTTGAATCTAGTCATAATTAACTAAACCATTCCACAACGCATACAATTTTCATGAATTTAATTATATATTATGTATTTGAATCTGTTGCCAATGGTAGCACTATAGGTTAAAAATTTCGTTTATTTTTCCTTTGTTTTAATTGACAGTTATGACTCTTCGGATAGGCAACCACTTAGTGTATTCCGCGACTGTTATGACACAACAGCATCTATCCGTAAGTTTTTAGTGGCAGGAAGACCAGCTGAGAAATCCACACCACTCGTTTTACAATTTATGAAAAGATAGGCACAATTGATCAAATAGCTAGTATGAATGTCTGAATGCGAATACACACAATTTACTACTCATAAAATGCCATCTCATTTTAACGTAGTCTGTTAAACCAAAATGCAGTAAGTACAGCTTTTTAACTAACGACAACTAATGAATTAAGTTCCTTCATAGAACCATTGGCCCATGAAATTTAGGAAGACATTTTCAGTTAAAATACTCTTACAATACACCAGTAACCAATAACATCTACAGAACTTTGCAAATGCATTTCTCGGGTACCTACTCAGAAGGATATATTACAACAGTTTAAGTTACCAGGCCGGCAGGAGGAAAAAATA